GCCTCCGGGTCCTCCTCAAGGGGAGCCCCATGTAGAGAGCGTTGCAGTAGTCCAGGCGGGAAGTGACAAGGGCATGAGTGACCGTGCATAAGGAGTCCCAATCCAGAAAGGGATGCAACTGGAGAATCAGGCGAACCTGATGAAAAATCCTCCCAGTCACGGCCGTCAAATGCTCTTCTAAAGACAGCAGTGAATCCAGGAGGATGCCCAAGTTACGAGCACTCTCCGTGGGGGCCAGCGATTCGCCCCCAATAGTCAGAGATGGCACCAACTGACTATATCGGGACGTCGGAAACCACAGCCACTCAGTCTTGAGTGGGTTGAGCCTGAGCCTGAGCAAGGAGCGGGTCACCCTAAACAGGACAGCCGGGCAGTTATCTGATGACGCAATAAGAGCAGCAAAATAATTACACTTTGCTCCTTTTATTGCCACTAGGCAGGGCCGGATTTTCCTATAGGCTAACTAGGCTTCAGCCTAGGGCCTCAAGATCAAGTGAGGCCTACATTCCCTACATTCAAATTGTTAGCAAAATTAAAATTACACTTTCACTATGGGTGAAAGGGCCTCATAAGTGGAATAGCCTAGGGCCTCTTTTCATCTAAATCCGGCCCTGCCACTAGGTAATTCTTAATATGAGATCTTACTAGTGTCCGGTCAGATTCAGAAAGACTGGTCCTCCAACTACTCTCTAGGTGTCTTTTCCAGCGCTTCATCTCCCTTAGCTCCTCAGTGAACCAAGGAGCCAGATGAGATTGGTGCCGGGTCAGAGGCCGCAAAGGCACGACCCGATCCAGAGCTCCAGCGGCCGCCTTATCCCAGGTGGCCACTAGGTCTCCAGTCGAGGCGTGAGCCAGAGCCTCAGGGAATGGCCCAAGCTCCATCTGGAACCTGTCAGGCTCCATCAGGCGCCTGGGGCGGAACCATCTTACCGGCTCCGCCTCCCTGCGGCGAGGTGCAGCGGTTCGAAGGTCAAGGCGAAGGAGAGAGTGATCCGACCATGACAAGGGCTTGGTGACTATATCCCCTATCTCAAGATCACTCAACCACTGTCCAGAGACGAAAACCAGGTCCAGTGTGTTTCCCCCCGTGTGGGTAGGGCCATGAATTAGCTGGGTCAGGTCCATAGCTGTCATGGAAGCCATGAACTCCCGAGCCACCTCAGACGTCTCACCCACAGACGGCAGGTTGAAATCCCCCATGACCATAAATCTAGGGGTGTCAACCGCCACTGCTGCGATGACGTTGAGTAGCTCGGGCAGGGCTGCTGCCACGTGGCAGGGAGCCAGGTACGTGATCAGCAAACCCCATGATCCCACTTCACAAGGAGGGACTCACAGCCGGCCGTCTGAGGAACAGTGGCCTCCCTTGGTCTAAGACCTTCTTTAATAATAACCACTACCCCCCCCACCCCTCTCCTGTGACCTCGGCTGATGGAACGCGTGGAAACCTGGTGGGCACATTTCAACAAGGAGAACCCCCCACTCCTGGCCCAACCAGGTTTCTGTAATACCTGCCAGGTCCGCTCCCCCCTCCTGAACAAGATCACAAATGAGGGGGGCCTTATTTGTAATGTATATTGCAGCTTTTTCTTAATAAACAGCATCTGAAGCTACCCAGCTGAATTAAATAAAAATCTTCCAAGGCTCCTGAACAACTAGAAAATGAGTGAAGCTGTATGACTCCCAAATGTTCAATAGTACCAATGATGAAGTGACATTATGTCTTCTCCTAAATTATAGTGCTGAAACCAGGAAAGCTTCATATAAACCAAAGTGAATATTTGTGAGAAGAATATTTGGAGAAGAACTGAATTCTATTCACTTCTCATATTCAGATCTAATCTCCAGTTCTTGGACTCACTCAATCATTTCATTCTAACTGAATGTCTTCTGCATTAGTCTCCAGATGATGCATTTCAGCCTCCTTGTGAAAACAAAGATGGGCAATTCTGAAGTCTGCCCTTCCCTGAAGGATACCTGTTGAAACCAATGAAGTTTAACTTAGTCATGTTGGGCCCAATTAATTCCAGTGGAACTACTCCAGATATGATTACCAATTTAGTGTTGTTATTCATCCATGCTTACATTAGAATTTTAATTAAATGTGAACTGTGTGGCTGCTTTCTACAAAATCAGCAACTCTCCTTTTAATCAAGGTCTCTGGTACTGTTCTGAGATCTAAACAGAGATAATGACGTCTGTGTGTGTGTGTGTGTGTGTGTGTGTGTGTGTGTAGGCATAAACTCACATGTATACACAGATTTGTAAGGTTAGTTCCCATTTTTATTCTCCCCCCCCCTTTTAAAATTGAAAGCACTTGGACCATTTTGTTGATTGATGGATTAGTGCTTTTAAAGAAAGAATTACTACCCATATGTTACAACCTGATATCTGATATATAGATCTATTTCAAGCTATTTAGCTCTCATCAGCTAGCCATACCCTTACTTAATTTGAACTTGGGCTAGTATAGATCTATACTAGTCTCCCTTTATTTCTTTATCAGCGAAATATAAATTTGGTATAAAATGGTTTGTCATGAATGCGATGGCTTGAGGGCTCCTGGATTGGAGCTGAAAGGCGAAAGGGATGATGTATGCTCCCTCCCACATGCTGGGGTAGACCAGGTGCCTCGATAGAAATATATATGTCTTTGGTTATTCGGGTTTTCTCCCGTGTAAAATTGAAAGTGTCTTGGCGACGTTTCGACGAAGTCTCATTCGTTATCTTCAGGCTGGTGTTTTTGGCTTCTAGGAGCAATTTTACTTCTAATTTTACGCGGGAGAAAACCCGAATAACCAAACGCCCACTGACCCTGATGTCATGAAAATGCTTCTGCATATGTGCAGAAGGTTCTGAGCTTGTGCAGAAGAGTGCACATGAGCAAAGCAAGTGCGCACGTGCGGCCCCGTTGCGAACCGGTAGTAAAGGTAAGTAGAACCCATCCCTGATATATATATATTCATTCCTCCAAGAGTGGGGGCGGGGGAAGAGAAAAATCCATCTTATATATGAACTGGCTAAAGAATAGAAGCATCTGTTTCATAATATACAGTGATCATCACCAGGAGATAGGCAGCTGCTTTATATTATATAAATTATTCTGTAGTCAAGCAAGATCTCTCCAGATAATTATCCAGGAATGTTTCAAATGACGGCATATGTAACAAAGCATTGCATGAAGTGGGATGAATCTTTGTAATTTTCCAGTTATGCTCAATAAAGAAGCCTACATCAGTCACCTATATGCAGGCTACTAAATACCACATTCCCATGGGCCATGGGAGGAATGCAGTCGTGAATTTCATTGAAAAAGGAAAGACTGCAAAAAAGATTTTGCTATAGACAGACACCAAAGCAATCAGGAGTTTGAAGAACAGGAAGGCTTGTATGCAATGAATATAAAACCTTTGACCTGAAAAAGCAGGGTGGGGGATCTTATTATTGCAAGAAATGCCAATTCTGATAGGAGATTGCTTTTTTCTTTAATTCTTTTTAGAGTATGAGTCAAAGTATTTCTGTGATGAGAGACCAAACTTTCTTAATTGTGACTTCTTGCTTATGGGGTGTATTTTCCACTCCATATGCTTGGTATCCTTACTGATACTGGTTAGCTTAGACATGGCTACCTATGCAAATCTTGAACAAAATTGAAGATAATTTAACTATGGTACCTGATCTCCCCATGTTGAATAAGGAGATGCTCAAATGACTGTGAATCCATCTTCCTACAATCTTGACATAGCATGATCCTTGCTAGCGGATAGACATATGTTTAGAAACATCATTCAGATCTTGATCAATGTAGCAAGCTTGGGAACAGTATAAGTAAGATTGACCTGTGCTTAGAACAGCCACTGAAAAATCCAACTAATATTCTATGGTGCTTTGTTGTGTATATTCACTGTTAGCCACATATTAAGAGGGGATCTTCTGTGAAAGCTTTCTAGTCTTACACTACTGTATAGTATCTTGAAAATAATGTAAAACTAAAATGGAAAATCTGTGGCCCTTCAGATGTTGATGAATTATAGCTGCCAACATTCTCCACCATTGATGCATTGGTTTTTTGGTTAAAACCACTGGGAGTTCTAGGTCAGCTATAACTGGAAACTGAAGACTCCTACCAATCCACCCAACAGATAGATTCATTAAGATACCCATGCAAATGAGTAGAGAATTATCGTTAACTGAAGTCAATCAGTATTTAGTTTCCCTAAGAAAGAAAACCCAAATTTGTTCTGGCAAATTAAAATTAAAATTGACTTACAATTTAATTTAAACCATTTGATGTTATCATTCTCATTGGATTTAAATTTTCTCCTTTATATTACATAAAATATAATAATTGGGCAACCATCCAGGAGCCACATCCAACCTGTATGTCTTCTGTCTGACCCTCAGCCTGCAAGTTGTACTGTATATTCTTGCCTGGTAATAAACAAAATGATAGTGTTAATGGAAAGAGACCTTTCATTGGGTCAATTTGTGGGGCTGATTGGGATTTTCAAAAATTGTTAGTAGAAGAATTTTTATTGCTGACACGTTTTTTCAAAAGGTGAAGCTTATTGAATACAAATTGAAGGAACTGAAGTACTGATATTCCCAAAAGGCTATTTCTGCACAAAATAGAATTTGTTTGGGGGGGTATTTTTCCACATCTTACAATCTACCTTTATCTATTATGATTAATGGGTTGATGTCTTAATGTATTGTATTTTTAATTCTTTTTAAGCCAAGCTTAAAATGTTTTCCATTTTGTTTAAGCATCTGATAGCATTTAGCCTATCTAATCTGTGTCATCCATAAATCTTCATAAAATAACCATTACCTTTTAAATTACTTATGTCATACCATTATCTCCATTGATGAAATTTTAAATGTAAGATGGTGACGGATGATCTGCTAAAAGTGGCCTCTAAAGTAATAGTGCCAGATTCTTGTGGTTTATGATAGCAGAACGGTTGTTAATATTTAATTCCTACTGTTCTCTATTATAGCCCATCTCTGCCTGCCTTGGATTGGCAGTTGCCATCTCACTCAGGACCTTATGAACTTCGGATTGAAGTGCAGCCGAAGTCCCATCACCGAGCCCATTATGAGACGGAAGGCAGTCGAGGAGCTGTCAAGGCGTCTGCTGGGGGACATCCAGTGGTGCAGGTAATAGCATTATTCTTGGCAGCGTGTGTATTTCTTTTAAAACCAACATCCTTAATAAGGCAAGTAAAATGACCTTATATTGAATGTAAGTATGTACTCTGTTTTGGTGGATGGAAAAAGGCTTATTTGTTCGACCAAGGGCTGCAGAGGCTTGAATGTGCTTGATGGGTATTTTGTACTTTATGATGTAGGTATGGTGGTTGCTCCTGGAATTCTTCAGCATAATATTATATGAAAGGTCTAAATATATGACCAACCTCTATGGTGCCAGTTCAATGCAGAATCTGTTGTTTCCTTGTTGTTGTATGTCAAACTAGCTTGCTACCGTGAATGAACGGTATTGTTATGGAGGATGTGAAGTTTTCATCTGAGGCTTGGGGTTCCAAGAAACTAGCCAAGGGACTCATCACACCTTATAATTCAATGCAAGTAAACTAGTCTATAAAGGAGTATCCCTTTTCATTATGATAATGTACAGAAACATGCCCAGAAAAAACACTGTGGTCCTTGCATATTGGAAGTTTAAGAAATCCAGATCCAGATATGTATCTCTAACTGATTATTATGTGGTTGTATATCTGATATAAGAGTTCCACTGTAATGAGCTATTACTTCAAATCAACCCATCTGCTGGCTTTAATCCAAAATTTAATGGCCAATAAAAGCAAACATAAAATGCATTGACTTATCAATGTTAATTTTATTTATCCACGGCTTCATATGTTTCTTTATTGTCATAAGTAATAACCCAAGATGAACTATAAAGTAAGGCGTCAGGCTAGAAACCAGGAGAGTGTGTGTTCTAGTTCTATCTTAGATATGAAAGACCAGCTGGGTAACTTTGGGCTCCTTCAACCCAGCTTTCCTTACAGGGTTGTTGTTATGGGGGAAAGGAAGGGGTATGAAACAGTATTAGGTATATTCATAAGCTAATTAAAAAAACAATAATAAAGGTGGAATGTGTGTGTGTATACATATATATATATATACATATATATATACATATACATATACACATCACCGGTTCGGGTCATGGCAGGAGGCTCCGCCCACCCAGCCAGACGTCATCAAAAATGCAAAGCGCACAAAGCGAGTGTGTGCACTCGCGCGCTACCGATAGCAAACCAGTAGCGACTAGGATTTGAAACCCACTACTGATACACACACACACACACACACACACACACAAATACATACACACACACACAAATACATACACACACACACCCACACACACATATACACATACATAACGAGAGGCAAAGTTCTTTATATTAGATTCCCTCATATTCTTAACTATAGATTCATTTCTGCCTGTTTCACACAGACACACACAAACACAAGCATTCTTCCTGCTTCTCCATTGTATGCATTTGCATACATTCTTTTGCATATGCGCTATTTGCAAGTGATATCCTTCTGATACATTTTGTGCCTTCTGAAATATGTGCATGTTTAATTACAATATTTTCAGTATACTGATATCTGTATCCAAGCTTTGAATTGCAAAGCACAATATTGAACATAAACTTTTGAAAAGTACTCATTTCTCTGTATAAATGCATTTTGGCTCCTTGAAAAGCTTAATAGGAGTTGGAGCAGGTCATAAAAAACAGAATTAAACAAAAAAAAATCTCCTCCATCCCAATTTCTATGGTGATATCCTCCTGATAGAATTTCCTCCTGATAAATATCCATTGGATATTGATTTCATTGTACTTTGATATAAATATAATTTATTATTTTTGCTCCCTTTGGTTTTAAATTGAGAGTTGTGTTTTTGAACATTGCTAATTTTTATGTGTGTTGAAAGCGTCAACATCTGAAAGCAATTTAAAATTCTAAATTCAAGGGAGACATCTAACAAAAATTGTGCTAGTCAGTTTGATTTTACTAATATATTAGCATGAAGTAGGGCCTGGTGGCTCAGCAGGCTAAAAGCATTGTGATTAACACCAGCTGTCTGCAATTACTTTAAGTTCGAATCTCACCAGGCTCAAGGTTGACTCAGCCTTTCATCCTTTCTAAGGTAGGTAAAATGAGGACCCAGTTTGTGGGGGCAATAAACTGACTTTGTATAAATATACAAAAGTATGAAGGCTATTGCTTAACGCATTGTAAGCCGCCCTGAGTCTACGGAGAAGGGCGGCATATAAATCAAATAATAATTAAAAAAAAGTAGCCTTAGCATGGTTCACTGTTAAAACTGCTTCTCTTCCTGTCTCAAATTATTGCTCTTTATTTTACACATGATATTTAAAGTGAAATTTATACAGTGCACTTGTTCCTTAGGATATATTTTGCTAACTGCCTAGTGTGAGGAAATATACTGTAGATGGGAGGCGTGAATTCACAATAGCCAATTTGACATTTAAAATTTCCACTCAGTGATTGGAAAAAAACAAAATGCAGTGCCAACATTTAATTGAGTTGAATGTATCCAGGAACCACCCCGCTCTCCGCAATCTCTTTCTACAGTGTATGGAAATAAAACAAAACGTGATGCATGTTGTATTTAGATAGAATTGTGGAAAAGAAAAAAGGGAAATGTCGGAAGGAAAAAAGGAAAGCAAAATCCTGATCAATGGAACGATGCAGAACTTCCTCCTGTTTTTCATTCCGAGCGACAGATGATGTCCTTCTTTTGTGTAAAATATAACAGGAGTTTGAAGGCTTCCCCTCCACACCTGCCTCTCATACTTTTTGCCTATATGGCAGGCTTGTCCTACCATACAGTACTACCTGTACTAGTGAATACAAGTAGTCCTCAATTTATGACCACAATTGAGCCCAAAATTTATGTTGTTAAGTGAAACATTTGTTAAGTGAGTTTTCCCCCATTTTACGACCTTTCTTGCCTCTGTTGTTAAGTGAACCACTGCAGTTGATAAGTCAGTTAACCCAGTTGTTGAGTGAATCTGGCTTCCCCATTGACTTTGCTTGTCAGAAGGTTGCAAAATGTGATCACATGATCTTGGGACATTGCCTTTGTCATACAAACACATGTCAGTTGCCAAGCATCTGAATTTTGATCACATGATCATGGGGATGCTGCAAAGGTCATAACTGAAAAACCGTCATAAGTCACGTTTTTCAGTGCCGTTGTAACTTTGAACAGTCACTAAACAAACTGTTGTCAGTCAAGGACTACCTGTAGTATCTGAACATTCACACAGGCCAGTTGGCCTAGTTTATATGTAAAATTAAGCCCCTTGAGGAATACAGGCAGACCTTGTAGTGCATGCCACTGTGGGCATTTTCTGAAAAAAATAGGAAATCTGTAAACTGACAAAGAGCAAAATATCCCAGAAGAGGTGGTACCAAGACGGGGGCTGAGCAAAGAACTTAGCAGAACACAACAAACACAGTGTTTTTCCTCTGAAATATTATCAAAGTAGTCTATAGAGTTTGAAAGAAACCATTGGACAAAGACATTCCAGTCACAGCAGTGGTGATGATATCAAGCTCCCCACAACCCTGTTACAAGAAGAAAACAATCTAACCATGACGATAGATCAGGGCTGTATTATCATGGATACAGCTTCAGAGTGAGTCTATGACCATTTCCTACATTCATTTTATGAGTGAGTATAAGAAATAAATCACCAGAAATGTAAACACAGGATTGGGGAGGTGTTAAATATTACATCTGCTGTTAATACCCTCTCGTCTTGGCCCATATTACAACAGTCCCTATTTGTTTCCCAGAGTTAATTTCTGTGTTGGTTCCAGCAAGCCGGGCTGGCTTAAGAAGAAATTTTTAAAAGTTTTAAATTGGTTTGTGATTTTTAATTTTTGAGCCAAATTTATATATATTTTAATTGTTTTTTAATATTTGTATTTCATGTTCTTAATTTTGGCTGTACACCACCCTGAGTCCTCAGGGAGAAGGGCGGTATATAAATTGGAAATAAAATAAAAAATAAAATAAATAAATATAGTTTTCAACCTATAAATTATTCTCCTTCATCACCCCTTTTCAATATGCAGTAGTAAAATTCTGAACGTGTTCTGGCTGAGCATACATACCTAAATATCACCCTTCTAGGTGAAATAGTAGGGATGTCCAATATTCTTGTTGCCATATCAGATGATTGTGGTACCATTATATCTACTTAAGTGGCGCACTAATTCACACTTTGTTCTTCATTCAACTAACTACTTCTCCTTTCTGAGAATCATTGTACCCCAGCAGTGCTGTGATGACTATCACCTGTTTACATGGAGGCACCTTTGGTACGTTGTACTTCAGAGTGAAAGTACAAGAAGTCACCTACACATTTTTTGTAGTTTCATACTCCTACACGTTTGCTCTTCACTTGTTTGAGTGTTTGGCTACCATAGCAGCCTCCAGTTATCACAAGGATTTCTAAATGCTTGAAGAGTGAGATGAGCTGACACACCTAGAAAGTGCTAAAAATGTTTGAGAAGAGTGGCTAATCAAAGGTGGTGGTTAATTGGCCGGGTGAGGTAATGCTTGGCAAAGTACCTCATGCCTTGTCCTATAAAGCAGTGTTACTAAACATAATCCTCTTCAGATATTCACTTCTTTCCTCCGTGTTATTTCAAAGGAGGAAAAAGATCCTTCTGTTCTGGGAATTTAAGATTTGGGGTTTCAAATCCTGCCCTCCCACTAACATCCTGTGCAGCCTAAGGCAACTCATTTCATTTCTCTGTTGATACGAATGTAGAAAATATTTTCATGTTCATGTACTACGAGGTTTTGTCAGCACAAGAGCACTGAGGCTTTGTACACAGGAAACAGAAGAGGAAGGAAAGGTAATCAAGGGTTAGAGCCAAAAAAATCTCTCATTTCTTCAGTGCCTAAAGAAATTTGTTTCTCAATTTGTAGGCTCTTATTCTTAATACGGCACATTGAATGGCATGTCCACAACACTCTCCTGTATTCAGAAAGGAAGGGAGAGCAAGTATTATGGGTAGCAAAACTACTGAAATGTCCAGATTTGTGGACCAACAAGAGTGTTCTTCTCATGGCAATA